GAGGTCTACTGCCTATTTGCGACACTTCTGTTTTAATGCGGAAATATTATTCTATACATAGAGTACATACAATATTTGCTGCATCAGGATAGTAATTTAATTAGTTATCCAGGAATGCCACACCGAGTCATTGGACATTTTCTTCATGAGGGTCCTGCTACATTGGGTGCATATTTTAAGATGTGGTCAGCCAATGAATGATGAGTTGTGTTTATTATACAAGTGGGAGGAAACCAGAGCCCCTGGAGAAAACTCACGTGCGCGAGAGGCAACACTATCCCCACACAGACGGAAACAGATGTTGACGAGTCCACACAGATGGAAACAGATGGTGAGGAGTCCACTTGCCGTACCGATTTCTCCTGGCGAGCCAGGTTTATGGCACCTCGACGCACACAAGAAAGGAGTTTCACAACATTTGCGCGGTTATCCACCAACCCTCCATAGTGATGGATTACAGGCCACGTGCGTAACCACCACCACCACCACCCGGCTAATCGTAATGGTTGAACGCTTATTATTAGAACTGAAAAACAGTAGCTAACTATTGCAACGATTTAAAATAATGTACAGGATTGCAAACTTTTTCGAGTTTGTCAAGAAACAGAGGTTGGGGGGGGGGGGTCCGGAAGAGCTTAACTGCTTCAAATGGATTCAAAGCATCGTGCTAATTAGTAAACCGTAGTGTTGTTTGTACCCCGCATGTGCTGAGCAAGGACAGCCTACTGAGTTCATTCGTTTACGTTTCTCTGTTAGAATTCAGCTGATAGATAACAAGATTTTAATATATATTTAATCGCTGAATGTGTTTGCGGAAAGGCAAGTTTCACGTTTTACATTAAGCTGGACCCTTTATGCAGCTATTCAATGATTTTCCGATTTTTTTTGTTTAAAGTCAACTATAACAAATAGCTCGATCTGGATGCTTGTAGTGGATTAACGAAGTAATTTTAGAGCCCTGCGTTATAAACCCAGCAATCTGCATCCCGGCCATGGCTTACGTCAGTGGGGAGTGAGATCTCAACGGGTCTGGGTCTAACCAACCCCCTCCTTCACGTAGCTGCATTGACCAGCAACAGTGAGGTGTGGTCAAAGCAATTCCTCCCCCCCCCCCCCCCCCCCCGATAACTTACGCAACATAGGGAGGCTCTCATTTAGCAGTAGATCTACATTGTACATGCACACAGTGAATCTTGTTGTCAATCACCATCCAGAAAATCCATGCCAAACATGATTGCATCGACCAACACCGGTACAACTCAATGTTATAATTTCACTGAATAATAACCAAGTAGAATGCCAATGTATGGTTTTTTTTTCTATTCAGATGAGCACGGGACAGAGCTCACCTCCTGGGTAGAGTCCCGAGCCAGTGGTGAAAAATCCATATTCCCATTGTCAGGGTTAAGTCCATCGGGTTAAGTTAATCATCAGGACGTCTGACTTTTCACGAAGTGATACTGTGGTTGAGTGACTCCTGACTGGGACTTGAACTGCCTGGCCTTCCATTTGCAAGACTTATATTCGAACCACTTTGTCATATAGCCAAATTGAAATCACACCAAAAAAAATTCTACATGTCATACAGAATATACACCTACAATCGTCAATAATTACAAAAAGCATTCGTAGTTAGATATCCGATTCAGGAATATACCATTATTTAACTTATAATGATGTGTTCAAGATTATTCCCTTTACCAATTGTTTAGCGAATTCTATAAACATGTAGATTTAATTTTCAAATTGCATTTCAAACAATGTTAAAATATAGTTTTTTTTTTAAAGATCGGGTAAATACATTGATTTAAAGTAATACAGGTAACCACCGAATTGTTATTTGCAGTGGTGAATAAATGTAACCGAAAGGATCATAACATACGCTCCTGTCAAAAGATAACTTTTCTCAATGTAAAGGATATTTTAAGTAATTTATTGCAATGTTTTTCTCAGGTGTAGCCTTTTATGCAAGTTACCTTGAATGCGAATTTTGAACCAAGAAATAATTGTTTCTACAATATTATTGCATATTTAGTTTGCAATAATAATACTCAATTCTTCCAGGAAAGCACTACTGAACCTACGGAATTTTTTTTTTATTCATGAGTGTTCTGCATTGGGATGTTTGTCTAATTCCATTACTGAGTATATGAGAGGAAACTAGAGTACTAGGGGGAAAAACACATACATGAATATAAAATGTGCAGTGCTCCCTACAGATGGATTCAATGCACTTGCAGTACTGAAATTTCCTGGCAACTTTGTGGTCCAGCATGTTGGGCAGTTTTAGTTGTGGTTTTTTTTGTGCTATAGCAACCCCTCACGTCAAAACCTTAATACATTCTATACGAATCCAACATATAAAGACGTATTATAAGGATTTTACTGAAAACTTCACAGTTTTAATAAGGCAATCATGTACATGCCTTCTGGAAAGCCTAAATGTGAAGTTCACTAAGAGGAGTTTGTTTTTTTGATTGAAAAAAATCCATACTTTATGGATATTTGTTTTTTTCAGTGATAATTTATTTGTAGTATAGTTATTTTTTGTTAATTTTCAGAGTTGTCATTGTTTTAAATTCACAATACGGGGTCTGCCCGTTGTCAAATTGCACCAGTTTCCAACCGCACTCCAATTGCTTCGGTCCACCAGACCTGCCACGGGGAATTTTAAAACCACATTACAGATACCCACCTTCTCACTGGGTCGAAATATAACCTAGTAATGGTTTTGTTTACAAGATGAGATAAGATTTTGCTCCCTTCTCATCCACGCACAGCAGTGACCAAAAATGCATTAAGTTAAGGCTGCGTATTTGCAATTATCTTTGGGAGATGTTTCGTCAAGAGTTATTACCTTTGATTTATTGAAGCTTTACCTTGAAATTTGTTTACATTTTACTGAAGTCCACTTGGAAATGAATAGCACATTTTAGATTACAAAGAGAGGCTTTACCCTACACACGAGAGGCAGTCAAAAGGTGCTCGAAAGATGAACACTTAAAATATGCACCCTCAATATAGCGGCTTTTTTGTTCGATATAATAACTTTAACATTAATTTTGAAAGGCTGCATGAAAACGCGGGGAGTGTTTTTTTTAGTTTGTGCTATTATATGACATGATAAGTGCATAATCATGGTACTTCAAGATCAAGCTTTGCATTATGGCAAATTGAATATATCTTTTTTTCGATTAAATGTTGCACATTATATTTTTGGGTCTTACCAAAAGACCCAAGAATATGAAATCCTGCAGTCACGAAAGCTTTAAGGTCAAGATTTAAATGTTGCACGTTTCATTTGTGTTTTACCAAAAATATCCTTGTGTGTGGTAAATAACATAGCCCAACACAAGCACTTTAAAAAAATTTAAAATAAAAAATGCTGAAAAGAGAGTAAACCAATTTGCACAACCACCCATGGTTACCTGATTATGCGGCAATACGTATAATAGTCAAAGACGTAAAGTTAGTCATGATTGTGCTAACTCGTAATCCATCGCTCCAGTGAATGTTGGGTACATATTCCAATACTGTGGTCACACTCCCATTGATGCTACACATCACGTACAGAAATGGTATTGCACACATTCCCGACAATGTGTTAGATTGACAGCCACTGATGCTGGACAATGTGACAGCCAGATGGCATCCTGTCCTGCTCCACCTTATTATTTTCTCCCATGTGCTTTCGTTGCTGATGTGAAAGACCAAAACCCATAAGATCCCTGGTTTTGATCATCCACAAAGCTCATGTTCCACTCTACACCGCATCGGCACAAACCTTGGCATACGCGGATACCTGATGCACACATGGAAAATTAGAAACTCTCCAAAATTAGAAACTCTCCATCCAGAACAGACCATACAACATATAACAATGCAATCCCCAATCCACAAATACGAAAAATATATTACAGAGATACACTCCGTTGCTCCTGACGCGGTTATCTGGCTTGACCACCTGAATGTGAAATCGTAGTTGTTACTCTGCATCTACACCAGCCATACAAAAGAATAATAATAATAATCATAAGAAGCTGATGGAACAGCCTGTTATTAAGCACACGCCTTCATATAAAGGTGGCTTCGTCCCAGCAGTAGATTATTTTGCATTAAAATGAGCGAGCCTGGGCAAAGCATGCAAGAATGCCATAAATAATGAGAGGAGACTGATAGCAATCACTCAACACCTCATGAACGAAAACAAGTCATTTATATGTTGTTTACTGTAAGATGAAATTTAAACACATTGCACAGCAACATTTTAAAACTCAAGGTAAGTCTCAGCGGTTCCAATGATGAGCCATTTGTTGGTCGAGCAGAAACTTCAATCACCAGGGCTGTTTCTGTCGTTCGGAATAAAAACCAAAAAAAAAGAGTTCTCAGACCTGGATCTGACACACACGTGAATGCCAACAGACCATGAGTGACAAGTTCAACCATGGACATGTGCCGTGACCTGAAAGGGGAGGAGGAATGCTGCTAAGGTGGACCGACTTTGGGCACCAAGGCTGGTCGATGAATAATGCATTGCTCAGTCTTGATTTGAATCTTTCGTGACTGCAGGAATCCATACTCTTTGGTTCTTTGGGTAAAGTCACGTAGGTAGAAAAAAATAAAAGGAAAAATATATAAACAACAAATTAATATATCACGACGTTTCGATCGCAACACGAGCGGTCGTCCTCAGTCCTCGGGTGGAAAAATAATACAAATGTAAAGATAGTTTTGTTTTATTTTATTTTGTCTACCTACGTGACTTTACCAAAAGAACCAAAGAGTAGAGAATGCATTGCTCACCTCCGAGTGTCTGAAAATCAACTTGCCTGCCCTACCGCAAGCCAGAGACTGCTACCGTGTATCGCCGCAGTTAGCCAGTTGAGATGTCTTGGAAAACAATATCTCCAGGGGAAGGTGCTGTTGTTGTTATGTACAGTTGTATTTTTGGATGTGTGCGCATGTTCATGGGGAGCAGTACAAATGTTTTGAGAATGGGATATTTTGTCTCACCACAGACTTGTTTTATTTCACTATCTTTAAATTACATCTCATTTTTAAAATTGCTTCGACTGCCCCCCTAGGTGTCCTATGTATATATATAATTGCATGACACTGCAAATTAATTAGCATTAACTTCATTAATCTAGCTTTGTAAATAATAAAATATATAAATGCAAGGGCATTTGCTATATAAATAAACAGTTTTAACTATACATAGACCTTTACAAAGTTGTTTGGCATGTATTGGTCGAAAAAGAGGCATTGATTAGAACACTGTAAATGTTTATACGACCAACAAGTGAACACAATGTGGCTGATTTTTAACAAAAGGATGTAATGGCCAAGTGGTAACATGAACACTTGTTGATAATTAAAACAGAGAGAATGCCCGAGATTACTCTTTGTAAAACAATAGCAGTTTTAAATAAATAATGCATTATATTTCTGTCATTGTTCATTTCAAAAATCAAATTGCAAAATACGGCAATTAAATCTGACGATTAGTAAGTGTATACTTTTAAAGTTTCACAAACAGCCACAGTAAATTTCGATACGTCTGGTATACCAGACATGGAAATTTATTACCTCTCGAGGAAGTTCCAACGCTCAATAATGCAAAAGATTGACGAGTAATTATGATGAATACTTACACAATCACAGTGGTAACAGTAATACAGGATTTTTTTTAATTATTATTCTGCGTGTCCAGTTGGTTAAGCTCTGCTCAATGAGGCTGCTTCCACATACAGTATTGTATACACCTTAAAATGTCCAAATAATAATCATACCTTTTTAAATACTATCTTTGGGAAATGGTTTACCATTTAACATATATGGCAGATTAACCAAACAAATATTGTCGCTTTGATTAAAAGGAATAAACTACTCTGACACTGGTTCACATTTACGATCAAAACTTAATATTTACAAATTGTACAATACTATGTGTCTATATTCACAATAAGAGAGTCAAGAATAAAGCAGATGCACGGCGCTACATGGCGGATGGGAGGTCATCCTGATGGGTAGTACGGGGTGTCGCTATGGTAATTGTAGTCGGGACACACCTTCTGCACCAGCTTGTAGTCCGTGCTGTAAAAAACGATGTAGATGCAGATGACCTTAAAGGGCTTGGAGCAGAGCCAGGACACGTGGCTCTGGATCTGCTCCTGGGAGCAGCTCTTGGACGGGTCGTAATTGCAGGGCACGTTCTTCTTAGCACGGTCCACCTTCTCGTACTCTATCCGACAGTTGAAGGTCTTGGAGTCTTTGGCTTCGATCACAGACTGCTGCGGGGGATCGAATTCGACTGCCTTGGTGGGCGGTACGAGGCTCACGGACACGTTTCCCTGGCCGGTCGAGTTGTGCCGAAAGTACACGCTGAAAGTGCCGTTGCCATGGTCAACAATCTTGCCCGTGATGAGGAGGTTGAGCTTCAGCGTTTTGATGTTGGAGTGAAAGTCTCCCCAGCCGAACATCTTCTTGAACTTCCCCGTTTTGACAATGGGCCTCCGTTTCGTCCTCGAGTGTGGCAGAAAGTGCCCCTTGCGGTGGGAGCCATGCAGCCACGAGAGGCCCGATGGGGCGACGATAGCCGCGGTCTCCCCCGAGCCGTTGCCTTCGACGAGCAGCTGAGATTTGGAGAGGAGCCGAGTCAATTTGGTGATGACCACCGACGTAGAAATGTTGGATTCAAAGCGCTGTCCCTCGACGTCATTTGATCCGGGTTTTGCGGACGAGAGGTTTCGGGTGCATATCATCTGAGGGTATAAATGACATGGGGCAAAAATATTCTTACACGCATGTGAGCACGTGTTACATTGGTGGCGATTGCATCACACTTACACCAATGCCGACACCGTTTTGTTCCTGCATAGGATTTCACGGATTACCGCTGCATTAGCTCTTCAAAATGTTTTTTTTTTTCATGTTTGTACCGCGCGGGGTGTTCCGCATGCTGTCCGATGTTTTGCTCCAAATGTTGGACGCTTCTTCAGGAACTGCATATTCAGTTCCTGAAGAATGTTGAAGGAGGTCGCAGCACGTGGAACAAAACGTCGAGGCATCATGCCGAACGGCGAGCAGGTACAGCCCAAAAAGCATGGTTGGAGAACAAATTCGTTAAAATATAAGACGAAACTACAGCCAGACGGGCAAGATATAAATCTCTCTGATCTGCTGGAATGGGTTCACTTATAGAAACGCACCACGGGGATGATTTTACGTTTCATAGTATATATGCAGCATGGACAATGTTAATAACATGGTACTTACAAAGCAGTCGTAATATTGTTATGCTTGGATTGAAGCTTAATCTTGAGAAGATGTACATGGTATAGAATGGGTGCACTGGCAATTGGTGTTCTGTGTTAAAGACTGGTCTTAGGTGTTGGATTTTCACCCTAGATTTTATTACCCCGTTCTTGCAGCACGTGCATCTTTGCCAAACACGTAAAATAAAGTTGCGTAACTTTGTGCAACGATTGACCTTGAATGCATGTTACCCTAGAAATGTTTAATTACTTAATTTAATCTGTAAAATATATGCTTCGTGGGGCATGCAATCTTGGCCATTGTCAAATATATTGCAACTGTAATGAGAGCAAAAATAAAATACCGAATGGCGACCCGATTTATTTCTCGACATTTGATCATCTTGATGTAAACATAACAAAACGGTCTTCAGATATACACGTGAGCACTGATACACTTTATTACACCCATCATTTGATACTTGAGTGTGCGCGTGAAAAACACATCTTACAGAGCAATCTTTGAAATATACACGTTATATTAATCCAGTGCTTTGGTAAGTAAGCTTTGCTTTAACGTTGCCGCCTCTTTTTATATTTTCCTATCGATCACAACAAGAGCAAAAAAGATAAACATCCTTGTTCAATAATACATGCCGCAGTCCCATTTATCACGGGGAGATCTGAATATACGAGTTATGTTTCATATTTTCCTCTCTCGCTCTCTCTCCAAAAGGAGAAAGCGCCATAAAACAAGCTTCTCCCTAAAGGCTTGGCAAAGAGTTGCAATAAATCCACGAAGCAAGCGACAGGGCCAGTCGTGGCGGGCATCAATCGTGGGTGCGAATGGGATGAGATCCTAGGCGGGCGGTGACCCTGGACCCGGAGGTCACGAACGGAGCGGCCGTCCATCAGAGAGGCGAGGGTCTGCCGGCGTGCCGTGAGATACCTCGACACCAGCCCGGGAGCTCGTTATTCATCGGCACGGTCCAGCCTGCTTAGTCCATTTGGTGACCCACCGCGGTGGTCCGCCTGCCGCTCGGCGAGGGCATTTAACGTCAGAAGTCATCCGCGTGCTCTCGCTCTCTGACTCTCTTGGACTCTCTCCATATCTCCCCGTCTCTGCGTCTCTCTCTCTGTGCGTCTCTGCGTCTGTCTCTCTCTGTGTCTCTATGTATGATACATAAGCACCTGAAGGACCATTTTGTCAGTTTGAGTGCATGACTGAAACGCACCGATTTTTATGATTTCTGGCATTGCAAGCGACGAGACATTGGCACGTTTTTGTACAAAAAAAATCTGATGGGGGGGAAAAAAAGCTACATTCTCCAACACACGAAGCTCGCTCCGTGTCTTCCAAGTTGCCCTTACGCATTTTCTTTTTTACCTAAGTAAACCCCAAGACCCATTTATAAAGAAGCGTGACTTTAATTTTGTAAGCCGTTTTAACTCGTGCAAGTCGATTAACCTCCACAGGAATCTGCCTCAGGTGTCACGTAGCGCATCTGGTTTGGCATGATATGGATTCGCTCTCCTCCCTATCTGTACGACTCGTGGTGCATCAATGCTGGGGTTGAGAAAAGAGAATTCCAAAATTGCTATGGATTTGTCCCCCCCCCCCTCCACCTCTTTTTTAAGTTAAAACACAACGATTGTACATTAAAAAATGTAATCTACAGCGCGTGTGCGCCTACTGGCCCGCGCGCCTCGCTTTGCCGCTCCTTTCAGGCTACAACGCGTCTCCACTCGGAACACATTTCCCGACATCGCTCTCAGAAACGTTGCCTTCAAATGCAAAACAAGAGCGCATTTAATAATTCACCTTAATGCCTCTCCGATACGGCGCAAAAAAAAAAGGTCCGCGGTGTACACACGCGCGCGTTACTCCACACATGATCGCAGGCACGTCGCTCTTTTAAAAAGAAAAACAATAAAGCACGCGCGTGCTTTGCCACGAGCTGCCGTTTTATGCAGGCGCGCACGCATCGACGCACGGGCGATGTTCGCGTCTTGCATATCGCGGGGCGAGTCGCGGCAAAACCGCAGAGTTCGACTTCGCGAGTCGCATTTACGCGACTCGGGGGGGGGGGGGAACTAAATGCGCAACGGTGCCGCGTGCCGCCGAGCGCATTCGCGCTTACGAAGGCGGACGACACGCGCGACGAGGTGCGCGCGTGTGCGTGTCCTCCCTGGCGGTAAACAAACGGGAAGACTGGACCGCGCTTGAAGCCTTAACAATTTTCCCGAGCATATGTTAAACACTTTCGCGCAACGCCGCGACCAGCAAAGGACGTCGCGCCGTCCGCGTGTGCCGAAGGATAAAGCGCGTAGCTCGCGTTCCCGTGCGTCAAAATCGAATACTTCTTATAGCCAGCGCTAATGCTAAATCGATACGGGATCTGGCTTAAGTGGAGGATTTGGCTACACCGAGGAATAACGGCGAATGTCCCGCGCGGGCACCCGCAAACGCAGCGCAAGTACTTACAGGATGCAGGCTGCAGTGCAGAAGGATGGTGATGTAGCAGTAGATCGGCCGGGTCATCTTCACTCACTTTTCAGGGGAAATCCCCCCGTCCCAGCGCTGCGTGTGTCCCAGCTGTGGAGGAGCCGCGCGTGTGTTCGGACATGAGCGAGCGAGCATGAAACGGGAACTCGAGCACAATCGAGGAGATGCGCGTTAAAGGAGAGAGAGGAGGTTGAAAAAAAGCCTCAAACTTATAGATGAGAAAAGAGATTAAAAGCCAGATAATCTGGCAAAACAGCAAAGCAATCTCATCATACTGTCGTTGCCAGGGTGCGGCGGGTTCCCGATTAAATCTGATCAAACGGGGGTAATGAAGTCTTCTCTTCACCCGAGTCTCGAAGCAGAGACTTCTCGTAGCGCCGCTCTCCTATAGACCATGATCAGCTGTGCGCGGGATGGAAATGTTGGATGGGGAGCGGGGAGAGGATTACATATTCATTGCGCCTTCACATCCCTCTTAAGAGCGCGCCGTCAAAACGCCGCTGGAACCACGCAACTGTTTCAATTCAGCTCGCCCAGGGTAACCATGATCGACGCCGCCGTGATGGGTACTTGAATCGACGCCGCTGTTGTTTTAACCAGGACAACTGGTTTGGGGCGCACGTGGCTTTTTAGAGGCTGAATATGAGGTGACGTCAGCCCTTTTCGCGGGGATCCGTGCGTTGAGCAATCCATTACAACACACACACACAAAAAGTTACAAGGACGTCATGTGCCGAAATAAGGCGTGCATTTCGCGTCTGCTCGCCGTTTCTCGGTATTTTTTTTGCTGCATTAAATACACCCCCCCCCCCACCACCCCCCGCAATCGCACGTGGCCATGCTTATTTAACAATCGGACAACGAGACGCATTTGCTTCGTGCAGTTGTTGTCGAATATTTTTTGACTTGCGCTGTGGAGTTTGTTTTGCGCAAGCGTTAAGCACTAATAATTATATGGTGACCAAGTTGGCAGGAGACGTTGAACCGTGGGGAGCAACGTCCTAAAACCCACGAGCAATTTGTTCACAACAGGAGAATGTTCTATTGACAGAAACACACGGACATCGACGATACTCCCAGTTTTTTTTTAATTAACAATATTTACAGTTCAACATCAGAGGCGCCACACACGAGTTAAAGTTTGCCGACATTCACTTTTGCTTAATATATATTTTTTTTGTGTAAAGTGGGATAACAGTTTATGTACTCCTCCGTTCCATTGCTTCTTAAAGCACGATCCCATCCCTTGTCATGATCTCTCTGCTGTAGTCCATCTCGGGTTACATGCACACCATCTTCCTAGCGCCATCCTTCCCATGCGCGTTTCAAACAGCGGGACGTTCCCCTGAACAGCAATGCGGGTTGGAGTATTGCGATGCAGGCGCATGCTAAAGTGATCATACAAGCACTGAAAACATTACAACACATTCCCGGTTTTTTGTTGTTGTTGTTGTTTTTCTTTTAAGGTCGCTCGCAACGTGAAATGTTACAGAGAAGTCGTGGCTTCGCTTCGCGTGCGCACGGCAGAACGCTTTGTCAAAGCGCCACCACGCGGCTGTCCAGGAAACGGTAGGCGATCTCTTTTTTTTCTTCTTCACCTCACCAAAGTTATTATTATTCTAGATATACGTTGGGTGTAGGTGTATAAATATATGCTTCGCTGTATATTATATGCCTCATTGCGGAAGAAGATGAAAACAAAGTTTTAAGACAATTTCACCATTTCCGCAGAACGCTCTTACACCCAAGCGGCTGTCAATTTTGACGATGCTTTTGTCGCCTATTAAACTAATAATTGTCTCAATTGAGAGCATCGGCACGAAATGTCGTTTCTCGTTGCATTTCTCCGTCAGGCTAACGATGGAACGGTGTAGTGTTTTGAAAAGACTAATGATCCGTCAGTTTTGTAATGGGATTTTCATGTTTTTTTTTTCATTTGACATTCATAGTTTTAGTCGAGGGCTGATCTCTCTCTCTTTTTTCTCTTCCCGCGGGACATCGCTCCTGTGAGGCAACACACAGCGCAATGACGCGCGCACAGACACGCGGGCGTTCATTTGGTTTAATTATCCATAGCAAAACAATGCGATGGCCATTGACTCCACTTCGGCAACACTTCTGCGAGCCGGGATAAAATATGGAATTGGCGGAAAGTTCTCGGCCAAAGGAGGTTCGCCCGCAATGGAGCGCCACTAAAATGCGCATTTACCTCTTCAGGAAAAGCCGACGCTCGATTTACGTTCTCGCCACGTCCGGCACGGTTAACGCATTGGGATTGATGGTCGATGGATGGAGGAATGTCTAATGTGTAACTCCCCCACCGCTGGGGAGTATAGGTACTCCGTATGAAGCATTCGCACGATGTATATGGAAGCGACCGTGATTGACTATAGATTATCTGATGTCGTGGTCAAGCGCATCGTTTTGCTCCGGGTCAATAATTGCACGACAGTTGTACCTCGCAAGCGACTGTCCCCGTTACGGATATTAATAACCGGCTGTCAAGATGAACTCGCCAGCTAGGGAATTACCATGAATCCCTGCGTTTGTTGCGAGGTGTCACACAGCAGTCTTTCTTAAGGACCGGGGAAAGTGGCTTCGTCTTACCGACGGGGGGTCCCCACATCACCGATGGGGGCACGTGTGGTGTGAGGTGCACGGTGCGAGAGCATGAGTGATGCGTTGACTCTCTTGAAACAGTTAATGGGCGGAGGCGGCTCTCCGCGCCGGCTTTACGACCAGGGCAAGTTGGCTACGCCGCGTGGCGGCTGGCTGTGTGTGGCGGGCGGCCGCGTGATTTACCCTCTTCCAATGCGCGTTGTTAGAACCTGGCCTGGGAGGAGGGTTTTCATTGCCCATGTATGTTTAAAACGAAAGAAGAAAGAACACACACACACAGAGAGAGTGGCTAATTGCATCTATGTGGGCTCACCTGTTGCCATATTTGTGAAAATTTGTCATGAACTCGCTCCAGTAGGGCACTATGCGCACTGCGTCTTCGCCGGAATCTCTGAAACACACGGGGAAGGGTCGGGGGTGTTCAGCCATTAGCGGCCAATTCCACGCCACGTGGACCCGATGGGCATGCGAACCATCTCTTCATATCAATCAATCGCCTCCATGTATTGCATTTCCTAGGACTTCAGCATGAGGTGGTGAGCAATGCACTCATGTACTTGGCGTCTTCCACATACATAAATTATTGCTGTGTTGAATTTGCTGTCCTTCCCCCACACCTCAGATTAGCACTGTAGGGTACATCATTTGCGCGTCTTGAACGCTCCTGTGACTCACGTAAATCTAAATTTGTACCAAATTTGGTTTAGGGGGTGGTCTGGTAGCCTAATTTAAATAATCTAATTCAGCCCACGAGTTTCTTTTGTTATAGCTCATGAACCTCTTATGGCAGAAGACGAAATTATTCATACGCTATTAGGTGATCAACTCGAACGCGTGCTTTCTTCACTGATTTGTCATTAGTCGCAGTGGAGGTTTTGGACTGGTTCTGACTGACAAGGACAAATATTTACTCATCATGCAGACAACGTTCATAATTACCATTAACAGTCATTTGTCAATGCACTCTCTGGTGAAGACCTCACTCAGCGTGTCCTGGATCGGTTCAAATATTGCTCGCCGTTCACGTTCACCGTGGCCGGGAATCGAACTCATAACTGGGTTCGTAGCGCAGTGCGCAAACCACTGCGCCTCGAGTTTACCATCGCTGGATGTGAATTGTGCGCATTTGTTGAAGCCTGGTTTAATATTTTTTTCTTGAACGGAATGACTGCTGTGACCAAGAATGACATGCATCATTAAGTAGTCCACAGGAACAAAACAAAGCATCTAAAAAAAACAAAAAAACCCTAAGATTGTTTTGAGACACAGCCAAAGTGACGAGACAAGTCACGATGTTACAACTGACGCGATTTCAAAACCGAGGCAAACGCCACGTATAGGTATTATAAATAGGCTATATGGCAATATAAACAACTGGCAGAAATACTGGCTGTGTCATACGTAAATCACGTATACAGCACCAGCCATACATTTCAAGGCCACTGGAGGTTATGTTGCCTTTTTTTTTGTTTTGTCCAGATGTTGTGGCTATACGTGCGTTTGTCTGACCATGTGTGCATAGCCTTACATGGACTGTAGTCCATTGGTGGGATGTATTATGGATTTTTTAAATCCTATTTAAAAACCATACATGTCGACCGAATAAGATAGTCCGTAAATGATTGAGGTTAGGGTTAATATAGGCAGCAAAGCAGATCCATGGCTTAAGTCCCAAGTACCGGAGTACAGTTTCGTTTTTTACACGTGGCCATATGTACGCCGTCTGAGTGAGCTGTGGCGTATGGCGTTTCCACCTGTTCGTTGAGCTTTTTGTTCACCGACAAACTGTTTTCTAATTACCTGCGACGGAATGCAGAGAGGAGCTACGCATTGGATGTTGTCGCGGTTGTGGTCGATGGTGAGTGCCCTACCCCCCCGCCACTTTTTTTTTGAAGATTGCTTCATATACATTTACGTGGTAAAAAAACAGAGAAGCAACTTCGTGAATAATACATTAACGACCTCGGCAAGCCACGTAATTCAATTAGTGGGCGATATTTGTTATATCTATGGATATATACATAGATGCCGCTCTTATGGGTATCTTAGACGATGCTAAACAAATTTTGGCTAAATGACTAGCAGTCTTCTGTTAAGGTTATTTCAAGAGGGGTTTTTATTCTCAGAGCATACAAAATCTGGCGACCCATAAAAAAAAAACCCTAATGCAGTCGTGCTACCGTTTTATACAGAGTACCGCATACGCACTTTTAGAACATAGCGTCGTTCCAAAGCCAAATTTGATGCAGCTCTCTCGCAGTTCATTTCAAGAGCGCCGATGCTCCGGTCTAATTAGTAATCTAAATCGTTGCTTTAGCATGGGGGGGGGGGGGCATTCTTCAGTCGATGTGTGAATTGGGTAATAATGCACGTGTCTGTAAATTGATACAAGCAATAAACCTGCTTCGCGTGAGAAATGGAGGCGAACACCCCCTTGGCTAATGGATCGCGCCACGAACGCAGCAGCTGCTTGACTCCAGTGGCCGGTTTCATGAACCCACCTAAAGTGAAAATGCCCCCTTTGCATTGCGCTGATTTATGTAGGAATCTACAGAAGGAAATCTCACGCAGGTAGTCTTATTCCACCGGCCAGAAAACACTTCTTTCCCCCCTTACAGTCCAGCGATTCTTGTCGAGTGACGTGCACCACTTTACTTAGATAACAAACCGATAGCGGACAACGCACTTAATTTGTGTTATGCAATCGAGACACGGGTTCCAATGCACCATCATCATATCAACGCGTTGAGCAGAACAAACAGCACCGACGAGCGACATTGCAAAGCGGAAGCTGGACCCGTCACGCGTTTGTGATCGCGCAAATCATACGGATGTTGTTGTTTGGTTTTATTTATTTATTTATTTGGTAGAGGCCCCTTGGAATGGACACGTAGATGTCAACCGCACCGTGTATGAGGCAGGGCGCGGTGGCCACGGCTCCGTCGGCAGCATGAGATGACCCTCCCATGGGGGCGAAGGTCGCGTGATGGTCGCATCCCAGCGGGACCTCGCGTCTTCGCCTCTGCTCGGCACGAGCGCTCGTGTCGCGCGGACGGTCCCAGCACGGACACCCTGATCCAGCAGGTGATGTGCAGCTGGGTGTGTACCTGTCAAACGAAGGCGGGCGTTTGTACGCCC